CCTCTTAACAATTCAAAGCTTCAGATCCGTAAACCTAGATCATGGCAATTATTAGCTAATATGCCTTTAATACTATGACATTCATTTCCATGCAACACACTCAATAACATAAGTATAGTATAATAAAGCATGACTGCATGGTCAATCTGTATGAGAGAATCGAAGACAAGAGCATCGTATATTATGAGATCGAGAGGCAATCCCATATACAGGGTATATATGCATGTAGGTCCAAATTTTAGTCATTGGTTCATAATGCAAAATGAAGGCGTGCGCATTAAAAACCGGTTAGAACCGGTTTACTTCGTCTATAGACTTTTATTAAACGAACAAAAACAAACTAAAAAGGCAGAGCTTTATTTTCGTTTCTCAAGAGAAATCATATTGTGAATTATCAATTTTAATCAACAATATAATATGCAGATCATGCGTTCGTATTTTAACTACAGGATTCCAAAATATGCCAACCTCCAATATATTTTGTTTTATTATTTCGTTAGATTTGTTAGTAAGAATTATCAGACTAAACATTTGTAGGCAATTCATTGACATTTTGTTTAATAATCAAAATTAGAACCAACCTTTGCCTTTTAGAGTCACTTTAAGTCTCGTTCACACGAGACATTTTGTCGGCGATTTTGTGTTTCTGACGGTGCAAATGAGTGAACTCGAACACAAAAGTATAGAGTCGCTTTTCAAAAGAAAATTATTCTTTTGCATGTCATTCATTCGATCACATTAGCCAGGAAAAGAAAAATCTCCGACAGACCGCTAGTGCATGAACCAGGCTTAAGCTATCAGTATCAACAGTTATATTCTGATCATAACCTATCCAAAGTATGAATATATTAAAGATGCTGTAAAGTCCATTTTGCGCATATATTCTGCGCATCAACACATTCCAACAGTGGGGGAGCAACCTTTGGAATGTTGTTAATATTTCGCACCTTCCGAACTTTCTTAAAATATATACACAAAAGGAATTCCTGATGATAAGAAACATATTAAATAATCGGTTTAAGAGAATATATATTGCATTTGTTAGACGCAAGGTATATAGGATCAATATTGGTATATAGGATCAATATTTTCTGGCGGATCGACACTATGCATTAATTATTTAAAAATTGGCTACGGCTAATTCTATACGTTCTTTTTTGTTCGCAGAATATGTGATTTACGCATTCATTCTGGCTATGTCTTTACAAGAAGCCCTTAAATTTTATAAAGAACGGTGCAGTTATTTTAATAAATGGTGGAACATCGTATTAGCAGTCATGTTGGTGGGTTTCTTGTTATCTGGCGCGCTTTCGTTGATTGGTTCTACAGCAATAGGAGGATGGTCAGCCGATAAATTAGCGTCACACTGGGATCTTGCAGGGCACCAAATTCTACTTCTTGCCAACAGCTTGTTTTCGATTTCTTCGGTTGTAAGCGTTTTGTATTTGGGTAGTTTGTTCCAAGTAAACTCCGTGTTTGGGCCGTTGCAGCTTTCGACATTACGGATGTTCAAAGACATTTTGAAATTTTTAACGATATTTTTGGGCATTTTCTTTGCATTTACACTGGGCGTGCGGAGTCTTTACTCGTACAATCGAAGTTTACAGGTGGAGTACCTTAACAGCAACAACATTACAGCATATCATATGGATGACGACCTTAGCATGTATGTGTTCTGAAATAATAGTAAAATGCAGTACGCGCGTTTGAGCACGCTCGTGTATGAATTTAGAAATTATAAAATTATAATAAATCATGGTGATATATATAGAGGTTATGAATATTGAATGAGGAAGGCATCGTATAATTATTAAATAGCACATTGACATTTCAAACAAGTTATAACTTCAGAAGAGGTCAGTATAGACAGTGGCGCGTAACGGAGGAAGAGGAGGCCCTTGTAGGCATATTTGGTGCATGTGGGGTCCCCTGTTGACTGTTATCATTGTTTACCGCTGAAATATCATATTTATATTGAATATTTATAGAATGTTCCGAAAAATTCCGTTTCTATAAAAACAACAATAACAGCCTCCAACACATCTAACAACGAATGCGAATAACTTTTGTTTGTTGAGATGGAATAAAAAATCAGTGACCGCGTTGTCGATGACGATGGAAGCTTTATTTTTTAGCATTATTAATTTTGCATTTTTCCAATGATTCTTATATAACCTGAATTTTTTACGTTTTCAAATATTCTGGGCGATAGCCGCCGTGGCTGATCGGGACCCCTAACTGTCGGGGGGCCTTCGTTTTTTAACTAACCCTACTCAATGAGCGTTATATATGCCACTGTCAGTAGGACCATTAATGCATGATTCATGTGCATATTAAATAATTCCAAATTCCAGTCGTGGTATATATTGATGCACAGCAGAAAATCGAGGTAGGGTTTTAATCTGCTGAAAATTTATATCTGCATCTATCAATATAATTTAGGTTTGCAGATACTTGGCAGGTGATGTTTTGGGCATTATTTGATCAAACCAACGTCGAAAATTTTGAAAAGACTCATCCAAGGTTTAAAATCACAAGTAAAACGGGCAAGTTTCTGTTTGCCCTATACCTCATTACAGCTGTGCTTGTGGGGATCAATATGCTCATCGCAATGATGAATAACTCATTCGAATACGTTGCGGTAAGTCCACGAAAAATATCTGAGAATGACTATAAATTATCTGCACGGTCAACGAAATCAATTATATGATTTCGTGCTCCCGATTGTTGGAGGAGCTTAGAGTTTCACTAATAAAAGCGTTTCCGTACCAGGCAATGCATGTTTTTTTTCGGTATTTCGTTTGTAGAAATATGTACGTTTTGGGTGGCATTACCAGAAATTTGGGACATGATGGCCAAGGCGCTCCCATGCATGTGGGAATCGTAATATCTCGCAATTGCATATAGGAGATAGATTTATAAAAGTGAGTGAAAATTTAAAAAATACACGCGATTATGTTGTACTAGCTATATTTCCAAGCTGCAACACTCGAAATATGTTGTTTGGCAGTTAAACATTGCATGCCAGTTAAAAACGAGGAAATAAAACGACGTCTATTCATTATTCCTGACATATGAAACCAGATCGCGAGGTTTATTTTGCAATTGTACGGCCCATCCCGCCATTTATTGATACTAATTCATGTATACAGTTGATACAAGCGAAAATGACGGTCAAAACTGGGCAAAAAGAGCTTTAAATCGACTCATTGTTAAATCTCATTGTGAAGTGTCCGAATTTGGAAATTGAGTTTAATACTGTAGTTCATCATCGCTTAAAGAATCAAATTATTATTTATAAAATATATATAAAACCCTTCGAACTTTGTCAAATCGTCCTAATAGCATGGCTATAACCTACTTTGTTCTACGTAATGGTTAAGGAGATTACGAGCACGAATTAATCTCGTTGCATTATGTTTTTTTTATAGTCTACATTTACCGGTTGGGTTTAGAGTTGAGGACACGATCAGTTTATTTTACAAAAAATTATATATATATATATATATATATATATATATATATATATATATATATATATATATATATATATATATATATATATATATATATATATATATATATATATATATATATATATATATATATATATATATGTACTATTTATAAACCGAGTGAGAGGGCTTTATCGGTGCATATAGACGCGAGCCGAAGGCGAGCGGCTATAGGCACAGATAAAGCCCAATCACGAGGTTTATAAATGACTTCTAAAATTCACCTTTTGTTTTGGGTCCCAATGAAATAATAAGAAATGTTAACTACAATAGTTCTATTCAAACTATTATATGTTTTATCGCCATGCAAACATTCAGTACAAAGAACTTAATAGTTCTATTGTTTTACGATTCTACTCTTCATTGATCAGCAAGCCCACAAATTAATGACTGGATTAATTACCAAGTCATACAAGTCGTTAAACGGAGTTTTCAAATGGAAATTTGAACATATTTGACTTGTGTCGTTAATGAGTCGGTTTCGAAGCGCTCGAAGTGCTGAAGAGGAGCAAACGTTGCTCCAAAGAGCGATGCCGCAAAGTACAAGATATGTGACAAAGTGGGCTTTGACGATTTTTGATTCCTGGAGAGCTCGGCTAGAAAGGTTAAAAAGTGTAGATCGACGATGCTGCATGGTCATGAAACTGATGATATTGGCACAATCCAGACATTAACTACATCGCTGGCGGAGATGAATGAAGCGTCTTTAGCATTTTAGTTAAGCAAGTTTGTTGGGTTTAAAGTGGTGTGTAATCAAAACGAAAGGGTTGTTAATCCCGTGTTTAACAATTGTAACATGCATTACCTTTAACTTTGGAAAATAAAGTATTTATTGATTTCTCGAATATTTGAGTTTTTATTAGGAACAGATTAATAAACATTTTGTTAAAGAATGCTTTATAAAGGTACATGCACCTTTATCATAAAGGTACATGTAGTCTATACATGAATTTTAAATCAGCACACGCCGATCTATATCACGGTATATAAGGGTCATCATGTGACGAGATTTTAAGAAATTCATTGGCTAATTAGCGCTGAATTATTCATGAATTTTAGAAATATATATAAAAATATATATATATATATATATATATATATATATATATATATATATATATATATATATATATATATATATATATATATATATACCGAAAAAGTAGGCGGTTACAGTGCATGGTGGTACAGTAAGCCGTTAATGTTCCAAATTTCTAGTAATGATTACACCATTATTAGTTAGTTATTAGTTATTAGTTATTGATTTTTGTGTTGCAAAAAATTATTAAAGCTTGTGAATAATTATTGCTGCATTATAATGGCTCTAAATTTCCCTGTGCGATATTGTTGGAAAATTCTCCAAAACATAATTTTTTCTTGTATTATAATTTAAATCCCTTCTGACCTTTTGCCTTAGTCATTATATTCCTTCAAATTAATGTGGACTTTTGCTCATAGGTCGACAAAGATCGCTTGAACTGGAAGATGAGCAGAACGGCCATGTGGTTAGAATTCGCAGACGACAAGGATGACTACTTGTTACCCCCACCATATAATGTTCTGCATATTCCAATCAGCTATTTTCGCAAGAAGGTATATGTAATATACGCAATCCAGATTCACTTTATCTATATGTGTCCTGCATGCGGTACCGCACGCTCAGAAATAACCTGACACTGCGGTTGCGAATAATTTAACGACGCAAGTGGCGATAAATGGTGTGAGTTGCGCCAAATCGTGAAAAAATGATCCGGCTCATTAAAATTTTTGTGCTTGTTCTGAAAAACTGAAACGACCCGTTTGGCGCGACGAAACTTACCGCAGCTTTATTTTCGGTTTCCTTTCAACCTCGGCCGTCTTTCTTTCCGAATTTGTAACGAGGAAGCTCATGTGGTGAGTATATTTTTGGTGCGATTTAATTAAGCACGAAAAACGATTTTTCACAGTTGGTTTGCGTTAGAGAAAGATTTAAACCTATAGATATACATGCAGGTGTATAAAAAAAAAGTTAATAGAACTTCAGCGCGCTATTGTATCTGAATTACTCTGCGTATGAACGAGATTTTTTCATATTCGGAAAGATCATGCTTTTAGCTGTTGAATAATATCTTGTTCATGCCATATGGATAAAAAATGAGCAAATACGAATCCGATAAAAATGTTAGTCAGAATCGCATATTTTCACCGTTGAGAGTTGGTTCTAAAACCATTGAAAACTGAACCCCCTTTGGTACTTAAGTTGATGAATTTCACTTCAATAAACGACGCACATATTCATAAGTAGGAATGAATCTTAGTTAAGCCACGACACGTTCGTGATTAATTGCCTTTTCTTGTGCTATGCATTGTTTTAATTTGGCATAGAGGTGAAAATATGCGATTTTGACTAACATTTTTAATCGGCCTCGTACATGCTTATTTTTTCGCCACTTGGCATAAAAAGCATGTCATTCAATAGCTAAAATGTGTATTGAATATGAAAACCAATTGTTCATACACCGAGTAATTCACGTATAATAACGCGCTGAAGTTCGATTACCTTTTTTTGATACACCCTGCATATATATAGCATCGCCATCGCTTGCTTTTATCTGACGTGACTGTACCCTGTTGATTGCCATCTTGCCCATGACAAGAAAATTGAAAAATGTTTAATGCGATTCCAAGCTTGGCCGGACAGTCATAAGTTCCTTTCTAACCATGCATACATCCTTTTGCGCACCAAGTATGAAGTATCGAAGGAATTAAAGCGCAATGGGAATTGGTCGCAAGAACCAAGCCAGCGTTCTCCATTCGGTTCGTGAGAACAAGAATTGATGTTTAATTTAAATTGGAAATTTTACTTTTTTGAAGTCATTACAAAACTTTTCAGTTTTATGATTAGCAAATTCATTTCAGATCTATTTGTTCTATAAAATATAAAAATATTTAAATATTCTCGTCAGATTTATTAGACTCCCATTTTAAAGACATACGACAAATTTGCATGGCAGAAGCAGAAAACGTCTGCTTTGCATGGGAAAAATAAAGATCATGGCCCGCATTCATGGGGAAACTAACAACAAACTGTTATGCTAATGTTTGCTATAGTGGAAAGAAAGGAAAGTGGATCCAGAAAGAAAGAAGGATCCAGAGAAGATAGAAATGAATGATATTGATAACGATGATGGGAACAAAAAGGTAAAACGTTTACCTGTACAGGAAATAGTTATACTGCATTCAATCTTTAATTTACAGTCCTATACGAGTGTTCGACATGTAAAACCTAGGGGATACAGGTTTAAGTAATGGCGAAAAGTAACCGTGACGTTGTAATTCGGACGTTGCATGCATAACAGAGACCTGAGGGTAAGATCGACGCCGCTTGATCTTGCGAAGGCGAACAGTGCAACTTACAGGTCAATCAACATTCAAGTATGCTGGTGCAAAGAGTAAGATTCGTACTCTTTACCTTTAGAAACATTAGAGAAATGATATCCTTCTCAAAATTTAAACGTATACGTTTATACGCATCTTTAGAACTCGACATGGTCTGATATTTGGAGTGTATAGGACTATGTTTAAATTGTATATTATAACGTTCATAATTGTATAATCACTGCATGCTGTCCCGTTAATACCAGCAGCATTGCTGATAGGGTTTTAAACAGTTTCATAAAGTCTTTATTATTATGAATCTTGAAGAAGACCATGAGAGTCACGAGAGAACTGACTACAAGTCTGCAGGTGGAGGTCGAGTTTTTAAGCACATGCAGACAGTCAGAAAGTTTACGTGGAATTGAAACATTTCCAATGTGATCTGAAAAATTTAGAATTTTCAGATAAATATCATTTGTGAAAATAAATTTCATATGCGAGAAATGGATTTTGACCACAAGACCGCAGAAGCAAAAACAATTCAATCGTTTTTGATACGTTATTTTGCATTTTTCCAGTAACCTGATATAGGTGTATTTACAATTAAGTTGTCATAATGCTTACAGTATGCGTCACGTTGAAGACATCATATTACCTACTTCCCAAATTAAAAAAAAAACACACAAAAAACCCCGAAAAATAAAAGGCCGAAAATATTCTTCAGCTCACAACTAGACGCATTATAACATATGTTAGTTAAGAAATAATGCCTCGTGAGAAGGCGGGGGGGGGGGGAGGCTATTTCACCGAGTATAATCAATTAGTTCGATTACGCAAAGAATATATAGTACGAATACTTTAAGCCATGTAATATGAATGAAGTATTGAGAATATTTTATGCCTATGTACTTGCCTCGTTACCAGGCGCTAATAAAAAAAATTCATGAGAGTCATGAAGTAGTGCATCGCGACACACAAGCGCAGGGGTTTATGGAACGCTCATATCCCATTCCCCTTTGCGCGCCTATAATGTGACGCACGCGACTTCATGTAAACCTTTTATATAGTGACTCGTATGTGAAATCGTTTTAAAGCGCCTGGGGACGAGGCAGCCTATGTACGCTATGTTGTGAAATCCAGAAAAAGCACTTCAAAATTGTTTACATGTACATATTACCAACACATATTACAGTACCCATTTCCGAAACCGGAACGGCCATCTTAAATCGCTCTATGCTGCGTGGTGTTTGGCAGATATACTCCAGATTGTTACAATAAAAAAGGATCCCTATTTTTAGACTCGTGTGGCAAAGGAATGGCACGAGTAATTAATACTTCCATGTTTAGCAGATCATTTATTACTTAGGTCAAATTACAAAAGCATTCATCTTTTGTCATATTTTGCTCAAAATCCTGAAAATGCCCGTTTTTCTTACAGCTTAAGAATCTGGATCGTAAAAGAATTATCCTTCAAGACATAGCTCTTCGTTATCTGGAAAAGAAAACTAAGGAATCGGAAGAGGTATGTAAATTAATATCATTATGTAAAATCGCGCTGATCCCTATTGGTTGACGCTTCTCAATTGGTGTGCAACCGTATAAAATACTGCAGAGTTCTTATTGGTTGTTAGTTGAGAAAATATATGCTGAATAAATAGTAAATCTGGATAAAATTTATATGTCACAGATATATGTCTCGTGCATTTTCGTATTAGTTCTGTCAAATTCAATACGATAGAATATTTGAATTTTATACAACTCGCTTGATCGCGGTAAATTGATATTAACGCGCAACGATAGCCACATGGTTACGTTTTCCTGTAAGTAAACTTTCGAAGGGAAGCATACCTAATTTTAGTGTGTAGTGATAACCAATTTGTGCAGTGATAAAAGTAAATGTGCAGTGATAAATTGTAAAATGTGCAGTGATAAAATTTGCTGTAATAAGTTATTAATTAAAAGAACATGAGGTAATGAGCAGAAAATCAGAAGTAATAATTCGTCTTTACACTTGACAACAGTATTAATCAAAACATTTTGAATGAGAATAATTTGAAAATTATCTAACGTCCGCACTAATGAACAAATTCTCTCACCAGAAATCATTTTATATGAGCTTGGAAAATGGAGTGAATGACACTTAACCTTTTGTAATTTGTGAATAATCTCCAGAATTCTATACGATTGAATGTTCCCGCACATTGCAGGAAATGCCCTTTTAGAAAGCCTAGATTCGAAATTGATTTTCTGTGGGTATCCGCCCCTGGAAATCGGTCCAGAGATTTGTCACGCCTAAGCCATATTTCATTTGCCAAAGCAAAAATATTTCTTTTCTACAAGCATGTGATTGTGAAACTATGCTGTCATAGATGATCGTAACTGCAGGTTCTGTTAAGGCCGCCCAGAGTGGTGGCAGTGAAATATACGTAAATATAGGAAACTGTCAATTCTAGACTTTCAGAATGCAGAATTTGGCCATTTCTGGGATCTGAGATTTCAAAATTTTCCCGGGGAGAATGCCCCCGGATCCCTCTAGTCATAGTGTTAGAAGATGGAATCACAAGCGGCCCCTACTCAAATTTTGCCCTAGGCCCCCAAATTAATTTCCCTAGGCGACCCTGCATGGGTGCTGTGCAGTGTATGTTGGTCTTGGCATTTTTTAATAATCAATTGTAGTCTGTTTTGTGGTTACACGTTTTTATAAGGATGTGTTTAGATATTTTCAGGGCGTGTTTCTGCTCGGCTAAACTTTGCACAAAAATGTGCAGTGATAAAAAATTATTAAAATTAGGTATGAGCGATAGTAACTTTTCCCACACTCTTTCCAGATAACTAAACTGTGACTGAACAAGTTTATAATTTACAGTTTACGCATATCATAGGAGCATACAGATGTGGCTATATAGTTGTTTTGCAGATCCTGCACTTTCCTGTACCATTCAATATAGGAGTTGAGATTTCCATCCGTCAAACATGTAATAATTATAATTACTTTTCGCATAGACCTTATGCATAATTACGTTGTCTTTTGGAGGCTGCTCAAGCCAATAAAGATCCTATAGTTCTTTTTAGAACTCTTGCGCTGGTATCCAGATAGGTTTTACAGAGTAAAAGTAACGGCAATTACAGTCCGCTTTTGTCGACCAGTACGAGAACAAGTGGCGCCGGTTTTACGTATTGTGTTTCTGGTTGTTTTACCAACAATAAAAGAAATCCCGAACTAAATTCTGTTATACTGTACAGTATATAAAGGAGTTATGTTTGGTGCATTTATTGTTGGTCGATAATTTGTTCTTGTAGGCTTTGGAACATTCGAACATGGCAGCTGGTTAAATCATTTAGGTTTTACTTCCTCGTAGAAAATGCAAAAGAACACACTCTCTAGCCTGTTGTTGGAGAGAAATATTTGCAGACAATTAAATTTATTCACATCTTACGGAGTTCTTTGTATTACACAATTTTACCATTTGGAAAATTATAAAAGGAAAGCTCTGGATTTCTTTTATTGCTGGTAAAACAACCGGGAACACAACACGTATAAAACCGCTACTTCTTTAGCCTGCGTATAGCAGTCGCTTTATTTTATTGAAGGCGTTGAGGATTTTTGACATAATGGCGGGCCATTTATTAAAAAATCCTCAAAATCTTCAATAAAATAAAGCGACTGCTACACAGGCTATGTTGAAAGTATACACTCGTAAACTTTATATAAGATAAACATTACGGACTTCCGATTTGTTTTATTAGTTAAGCGGTCACGTGTTTAATTGGAGACCATGTTGGTTTTGTCGGGTTTATGAAAAACGTCGAACAGTGAACTCTCGTTGATATTGCTTTGTTAACAAATAGTTTTTATATTCTTTTAAATTAAATCATTTCAAAAGGTTATGGGCCCAGGGACGTATGCGTAGGAGGTAAACAACGAAGCAAAATAAGCAAAATAAAGAGGTAGAACAAAGTTTTTCGCAATCGGAAGTTGGAAATATATTTGGTATTGTAAATATGGCGTCAGGTTTGGACGTGAAAACGACGAGTATAATTCCGTTGAATGGCAAAAATTTCCCCACTTGGAAAGTTCAATGTCGAATGGCACTTATGAGAGATGGTGTATGTGGAATTGTGGCCAAAACTGAAGTGTCGCCAAGTCCAGATGAAGCCGAAGATTTAGCAAAGTTTGTTGCGAGGAGAGATCGTGCCTTGGCAACAATTGTTCTGTCGGTCGATCCGTCGTTGTTGTATCTCCTTGGAGATCCACAAGACCCTGCTGTGGTTTGGGAGAAATTGACCAATCAATTCCAAAAGAAAACGTGGGCAAATAAGTTGGCACTACGTCGTAAACTCTATTCATTGCGGTTAAAAGACGGTGAATCAATTCAGAAACACATCAAAGAAATGACTGAGATATTTGATGGATTAGCGGTCATCGATGACCCTATAACGGAAGAGGATCGAGTTGTTCATTTGTTAGCAAGTTTACCTGAGTCATATGATATACTGGTTACGGCGTTGGAGGCAAATGTTGAAGTTCCTAAAATAGAAACTGTGACCGAATGTTTGTTGCACGAAGAACGAAAAATGAAGGAGAGAAGTGGGCCTGAGACTAATGATGAAATGAAAGCTATGTTTGCGAACAGACAGTCTAAAGGCAAGGGTCCCAAATGTTACCATTGTGGAAAGTTTGGACACATTAAACGAAACTGTCGAGAACTGAATAGTCTAAAACATGATGGGGACAAAAGTGAGTTTAATGAGGGTATTGACAACAAACATAAAGCTAACACTGCAGCCAAATCCAGACGAACAGACAGCAGCTCAGATAGTGATGAAGGGGGATTGATGGTGAATCATGCATTTAGTTCTGTAAACGGGAGAACAAATACATGGATAATTGATTCTGGAGCAACTTGTCATATGTGCAATGATGTGAGTCAGTTTGTGAAATTGCATAACTTGGAAAAGCCTGAAGATGTTACTCTTGGAGATGGTCATGTTGTCAAAGCAACTGGACGGGGAGTCGTTAAAACAAAAATAGAGTCTCCAAATGGCCGAAAGGGAAAGAGTTGTGTACTGCAAGATGTTCTTTATGTTCCAAGCTTATCGTATAACCTAGTGAGTGTGTCTAAAGCTACAAAGTCTGGAAAGACTGTGAAGTTTAATGAAGATGAATGTCACATTCTTGATGAAAGTCAAAAGCTGATTGCCACTGCTAAAAGAGTAGGAAACCTGTATTACCTGAATTGCACGAACAGTCATCAAGCAAACCCTACTGTAGGATATTCAAGCATGGGAAGCAAAGAGGTCACCTGGCACAAGCGATTTGGACATCTCGGTGTTCAAAACTTCCAAAAGTTGGCAAAAGAAAACCTGGTTGATGGCTATGACTATGACAAATCAAAGGACATTGATTTCTGTGAATCTTGTGCAGAGGGAAAGCATCATCGAAGTAAATTCCCAGTCAACGAAAGTCAACGTGCTAAAATGCCCCTTGATTTGGTACACAGTGATGTATGTGGTAAAATGAGTGCAAAATCGCTTAGTGGAACTGAGTACTTTCTAACACTTATCGATGATCACACTCATTATGTATGGGTTTATGTCTTGAAACACAAAGACGAAGTCTTTGGAAAATTCTTGGAGTGGAAAGCCTTAGTCGAGAAATCCTCTGGCAGGAAGGTTAAAGTCTTCCGCACAGACAACGGGGGGGAGTACACCTCGACAGAGTTTGAGAATTATCTGAAGAAAGAAGGGGTAACACACCAATTGACTGTGCCCAAGACACCGAAACAAAATGGAGTCGCTGAAAGGATGAACCGGACCCTGGTGGAATCGGTGCGATCCATGTTAGCAGATGCTAAACTCCCGCACAAGTTCTGGGCTGAAACACTCCCAACTGCTGTTTATCTTGGAAACAGAAGTCCCTCAGTTGCAGTCAAAGGAAAGACTCCTTTTGAAGCCTGGACAAGTCAGAAACCTAATGTGAAGCATCTACGAGTGTTTGGATGCGAAGCGTATGCTCATGTGCCAAAGGACGAAAGAAAGAAACTGGACTCGAAAGCCAGAAAATGTAT